TTTATTTTATCTTGATATCAGATTGAGTTGATTTGTTCATTTGGATGTTATCCTTTGGACCAGTAATAACTTATGATTATTTGTACATTTTGCAATAGTTTCCTTTAAGTGGTTTGTAAAATTCAAGTGATTTAATGCAACCCATTTGCTTTATTGTTGTTGTTTTTTCACTTGTTACAGTTGTTTTTACTTCCTCTTTAGGTATATTTTATTTCTAAGTTCTTTAGTGTCTGGGAGTTTTAGTAATAGTTCTCTTTATTTTTTTGTTCATATATATATATATATATATATAATACACATTTAGTGTGTGACAAATCTTTTTGTTTATTACTGATAAAATCTAGTAAGGCACTGAAATTTTCACAGTATTTTCTTTTTCTCTATTCATCTTGCTACTGCTAATTGTTTTCTATGTTGGGATAGGTTTTATTGATTTTTGTTCCGCCAATTGTTGTATGGTTTGTTTCTTTGTTTTATTATTGTATTGCATTTTTTTTTTACTCCCTCGTGGTGTATTTTGCTTACTGATCCTTATTTCATTTTCATAGCTAATATTTAGATCCTGTGTTATTTTTTATTATATATATATATATATTTGTTTAAGGTTAATTTTCTGAAAGCTTTTATGTTTTCAATATCTTTACTTTCTAGTTCGGTTTGACATTTCCTCCACCCATCGTCTAGGAAGTTCCAGTTCGTTTCATTATTTTTTAAGGTTATCTTTTATAATAACTGGAAAATGGTCACTTCCTAGGCTTGTCTTGTTTCTACCTCTAGGTGACTTAATGAGCTTCCTTTTGCATTACTGTGGTCTACTCTTGTAGTTTGGCATTTGGCATTAAGTAAAATTATTTCATAGTGACTAATGAATTAAAACAGGTTTTTTGTTTCTGTAATATCTGAATATCTAGAGATTAGATTTGGGTTCCAACACATGTATTGTGTTAAAACCTATTATCAATTTTGGTTCACCAATTTATCTTGTATAGTATTCTAATACTTCCTTTCTTATTGCATGAATGTAAGAAGTACCAAATATTCTAAATCTATCTTAATTTATTCATAACTTACCTAGTGTTCCAGAGTATGGTTTTATTTAGATATTTCATTATTTCTTTTATGGTTAGAGTTCCATTATATATAGTTTCAGTGAGAATTTCTATATCTTTCAGAATTCACACATTGTTAAATATGATATTGCCCTGACTATATTCATTATTGTTTTCACCCATGAAAATCTTTATTCATCTGAGTATCTTTTTGTCTTTTTATATTCCTTATTGGAGTTCTGTGTTTCACTGGTGTTTGCAGAGACCCCATTATGGGAGATTCTTGTATTGGCTTTAGTGATTGAGTTTTTTGTGTTGTTTTTCCTATGTTTCATTCATCTCTCCTTACTTATGATTTATTTATTTATTTTTTTATTTTTTATTTTTTTTGTGTATTTTACTTTTTAGGTTTCATTGGGTTCTTTATCCAAATGTTAAAGTTTGAGATTGGTTCAATGTCTGGCGAAATGACTGTGCTGTGTTGTGTTCTGTTTTTTTTGTTTTTGGTTTTTTGTTTTTTTTACTTTTCCTGACAGTTTTTTTTTTCTATGTTGGATATTTGTGTAACTTGTGTTTTGGCTTTGAATCTTGAAATTATTTCTTTTGGATTTCCAAATCATTGGGATTTATTTTATTTAATTATTTATTATTATTATAATTCTTATATATATATATATATATATATATATATATATATATATATATATATATATATATATATATATATATGTATAATGTTTTGGGCTTAATTTTACATGTATTTGTGATCATGACAATGAAAGAAGTATTTTTTATTTGGAAAATATTTCTAATTATGATTAAATTGGCTGTATTTATTACTTATTATTGTAGTCACGATCCCATGCCCACACCTCAGACACCTGAAATATTTGGAAATTGGGAAAGTATATTGATGGATTGGGTAAAGATGCATGTCTTATTACTACTTCTGGGAATTCGCCTTTGAATGTTATTTTTAGGGACTTGTAACCCATATAATTCTTTTTGTCCATTACTCTTTTTTCTTGGTATTTCCGCTATTTCTGTGTCGTTTCCACTTATTATTTTTACTTTATCTTTGGTCTTCTTTGGGATGAAGAGTATTTCCACTGGAAATACAGTGGCATATAAACATGAATTTCCTAGAGGCCAGTTGTTTGGAATCCAACAGTCTCCCAGTTTTTTAATTATGAATTTTTAATATTCAATTGTGAGATATCATTTACTTTAAACTTAATAGCCTTCCCTGTTCCTAATACTCTCAGGGAATCTTCAAATATGTATTTGTGGAAGTCTGATTAGTGAATATGGTCTTTTTGGGTTATTGAAATGTTAGGTTTCAGATTCACCAGTTCAATTAATAAGTACTATCTTATGATTTGCTTGCCCATACATCAGTGTGCCTTCAATTGTAGCCGGGATCCTGTTTCTCTGGAGATGTTTGGGATAAGGGTCTTCTGCACTGTCACTGTTTTCTTGCGATCTGTTTGATTTGGAATCAGTCCATATTACATTTGCCAAAGTTTCCTCCTGGATTTGGATTTAGAGTTGTGTCCATTAAATTGTCTAATGTACACTACACTCAAAA